GCTTGTTGATTTTTGTCTACGAAAATCAAGCGTGATCTTGGGCGTTGGTGAGATTTGATTTTTTGATATTTTTCCAACGCTGTCTGAAACACAGAAGGTCGTAAGGGGATCGGTTTACATACAAAGGCCACCATCTGGCCGTAGTAGTTTTATCAGTGTTCGTTTACCATGTTTGATTCCGTAACGCTTCACCACTTCGTTGATCAGCCAACCGACATTCAGTTCCATGATTCGTTCCTCATCGTAACTGACATCGATGATCACTCGGACTATGTTCGGAGGTAGAATCTTCACCGGCGTTTGCTTTCCTATCATCGACAGATCCCCAGCTTTTACAGGTGTTCTCTGGCCGGCACTGCTTTTCGCCAGAGACATCACACTTCTCTCCATTTGTCCGATTCTTGGACTGTTTGACCGTGTAGCCATATTAAACCCCACCTCCACCAGGGAAGTTTGATTTCGGTTGAAACTCCCACTAGAACGCTGGCGACGCATCTATGACTGAGTGGATGGCTTTCGGAAGTAGCTCCACCGGTTGGAAACTAACGATTTAAAATTGACTCACTACTTGACTAGCCTATTGGTCCCAAGCAAATCGACTAACGTACCCCATTCTCCCCGCTATGAAAGTTTGGCAGATAAAATGAGGGATTCGTGGATTTTCCTATGTTTCGTGGGGTGCATCGATTAGCTTGGGACCGGAGATAGTACCAGAGCTGAGCCAAAAAGTTGAGCACGTTTTTGCGGGACCTTCTGGTCTTAAATTTACTTCTATGGTAGCTCCTCCCGGAAGCGTTCATCAGAATCTGAAGAGCATCCGGACCAGTTTAAAGATGCACACTCGCTTCGTCTACTTACCACCGTCACCTGTGGTTCATCCGAGTCCACATCATACTCCAATCCAGTCTGGGGGTGAGACACTTCTAAATTTCAATTTAAGATGGTCGGGAAATCTCACGCTAGCGAATCAATCTACAAAAAATCTTTTTTCGTCTCTTGCATCTATTTCCATCTACTCGCATCGCTCTCCATCTTTTCGCAGGAAATCTCTCACAGGCTTCGAGGATCTCACAGCAGCAAAGCAACATTTTTCCTGTATCTTAGATAAAGTCGCCCCCCTCGAATCCAGTAGAAGTTATTGTCCTGTCGGAAATTAGAAGTGCCTCTCGAAGAACGAACGCTCGAAGCTTCGATTCGGTGGTCGAGGCCGTTGCTTGTTAGCGAAGACAACAAATCAAGAAGACTGGCAACTTTGCCAAAATTCAAGCGACAGATACAGTAGCGCTTCGCTTGAGTGAAGGTGGAAGCAACGCATAGAAAAATGAGCAAATACACAAACTCTTCGTCTGAGGATGTTATCTTTGCTATCAAGTTCGTTCGAAGCATTTACCTTTGAGCGGCGGATGACGCGATTGTACCTGTCCCATAGCGTTCGTATGAGAAAATGGAAGAGTTGCCAGTCTTCTTGATTTGTTGTCTTCGTTATTAGGTTCAGTGTAGTCCTTTTTCCGAGAGAATTTGGGAGCAACGAACCGAGAGTGACGACAGTTAGGATCTGGGATAGGATTCCACTGCTTGTTGTTTTGTTTCTTCAAAATAAAACATGTGTTACTGTCAGTTTAACCGAGTTGCCAAACATACCATTATACAAACATTCAGTCTGATGACACTGTTGGCACTGTCGGCACATTGAGAAATAAGTGTGTAGAGTGATCACCCCTTGGAAATTTTTCACATGAAGTTTTTCTCAGTGCTATGAGAAAAAGGATGGAAGGCGATGATTCAAATGGTTTGTGCACCGGCAGTTTCTAACCAAATGAATTGAATTGAAGTGTGCCGTGGCTGCTATTAGACGCGTTTGTTTTCGGTCGCTGGAGTTGTCGGTTCTGATTTCGCCGTTGGTCGCGAGTTGATTCGGCCGGTGATGAGCTGGCGCTGCGTCTTCCAGACTGTACTGTTTATAACACCGATTGAAGAAGAAGCGGCAGTATATCTGTGGGAGCTCTTCGAAATCATCGTGATGTCATGGATTCCTTTGCAGCATATCGGGTGTGATCTTTCCTTTTTCTCTCTTAACTTTCATTCCATTATTATATGAAACATTATATTCTGGGGATGGGAGGGTCCACCAGGGCACCTGATTAAAGTGAAATGGATGGGAGAGTAGAAATGCCAACTCCTTGTCTTTAATATTCCGTGAATAGAGGGCGGGCTCTTCTCCCCACTCATTGTGGCATTCTCCTGTTGGATGGCCTGTTTTTTGATCAGTTATATGATCCTGTTGTTAGAAGGAGATTCTCATTCATCCCGTGGATATACCGTTTTTGGCCCTGGCAGGTTGGGTGCAATGAGAGGTTATTAAACTTGATCAATTCAAACAGCGAGGATAATCCACAGTCCATCGACAGGTGTCTTGCTATAGATTTGAATTGAAATTTTGGGTAGCTGCGGAGCGAAAATTTCAAAATTTGCATCAGTCTAATGGTCATTACTTCACATGCTCTCTACTCGTGATCACATTGTTTGCTAGTCACGTTTTATGTTACAGTTGCCATCATCATCGCCCTCGTCGGGTTTGAATGGTTTTTTAGCATCAACTCGATCATTAGTGGTGTGTTGTGATATGAGGGGGTATGCGGCCTTAGAGCGGTTGGTTTTGATTACTGAGCAAAAACATCGTGGATTCAACCCCAGGCCCGTTCATATTTAAGAGTCTGGTTAGGCGCTTTTTTCATAACATGAACACATCACTAAACTTCAGTTCAGTGTACCGTTTACCAAAACAAATCCTGCTGTAAAGCTTACTGTTTATCCACCAACCTAGCGATTTTTCGTAGAAGTGAAGATGATTTCTGGGCTTCCATCACTCGCTTAATCATATTTTGTCGTGTAGTGTTGAGATGCTCGATAACCCTGGAGGGATCGGTTTTGCTTAATGAGCAGAATATCATGGGTTTTTTTTTATCCCATGATCTCCCACAACAGAATAAACCACCATCGTTGGCTTGCGAGAGCATAAAGCGCAGTTAATAACCAAAAGTTGAATAGTTTATACCATGAACTTTGGAAAGGGTGTATGCGTGATCCAGTTTGGAAGACATTGTTGGCTGCTTTCAGAGACGTCGCTTCATTTGAATAACTTTTTGTTGAGTCGGTCGTAGATTGTGGTAATGTAAGGGGTACGGTGGCTATAGAGCAACTCTTTTTGCTTAATGAGTAGAAGATCATGGGTTAAAACCCAAAACTTCATTACATTACTAAGTTAATATCCCAGGTACCATTGCAAGTTTTATCAAGGTTTTAAAACGTATACAAGTCCAATTCATGGTCTACAGAGCCCTCATAAAACCAACATTGTTACTTGGGATATCCAAGCCTCTAATGTAGAAAATTGTTAATAACAGAAATTGGAGGACCGATTCAGAAAAATACACACTTTGAAATTTTTACAGAAATCTGTAAAATTTTACCGAAATCTCAACAGCTGAACGTTCGGTAAACAGTTTCGCAGATTTATTGTAATTTTTCACAAATATCTGTGAATTTTTCACAGATATCTGTAAATAATTACAGGAAAACTGTAAAATTGTTTACCGAACGTTCAGCTGTTGAGATTTCGGTAAAATTTAACAGAAATCTGTAAAATAATCTTAGTGTGTAATAAGTATACTTAGACAAATGTGACGTACGCCTGAATCGGTTCGGAAGACATTGTTAATTACTTTGGATGATTTCATTTTATTGTGATAGCTTCTTGTAACCGACAATGAACGATCGTCGGTCGTAGCTTGTTGTGATGTAAGGGGCACGGTGGCCTTAGAGCGACTGTTTTTGCTTACTGAACAGAAGTCCGTGGGTCAAAACTCAAGCCTCTTTACATTACTGAGTAGATAGGGTCGCGTCATTTGCTTAACAGGTTTTAAAAGGTCGCATCACTTTCCAATTCCACTAACAAAACGTCCTTCCCGTGACAACCGTGGAGATGCAGAGGTATACTCGGTCTCTAGTAGCAACGGTTGTTGAAATGAAAATCTTTTCCCTCCCCGATGACCGTAAGGACGTGGCCGGGGCACCGTTATTGACCTCAAAAATATGTATTCTCCGGATTTTGTACACTGAGAATGGATTGCTAGTCCCAAGCTCCATTTATATGGTTCTTTGTACAAATTTCGCTAAATCTGGTAAATCACGGAGTAGCAACTACTGAAATGTATGCTCATGCTCATGCTTGTGAGTGTGAGTGCGTGAATATGCATAAGAATCTCAAGCGTGAATTTTGTTTGCCGCATTCCCACGCGAGTTTATTCTCGCAGGGAGGCTCAATGAATGAGAACACTGCTGCCTACAAAATCTTGAAGCAACGACTGATTCCGTAAACCATGGCTAAAGCTTGCATTGTCTGTTCTAATAAAACCATTTTAAGATCAATGAAAGACCATGCGCCTCCACAGAATAACGGATGAGAAGTACCAACCCATTATCCTGCCGCCATCATCGTTTCTATTATTCACCATGCCACAAACACCCCATTAGAAGACCTAATCCAAGTCGATAAAATCATCAAGCGGATTCAGTCGAAATTTCCCAAAAAAAGCATCATGGACGTTAATCCCGTACTCAATTTTAAAGCTCGTCTTGTTCCTGCTGCGAGCCAAACAAGCTTTGTTATTTGGATTTGTAATAAAATGAAGCTAAAGCCATATTTGGTAACGAGCTGCTGCCAAACGATGATGTTAGTGACTTTTGTTTGATAAGTTCCATCGAAAGCGTCGACACACGTCCCCAATCCTAAGCAAACACATTGCCTTGAACCGTTTCTTTTCTGCTTCCGAGCGTGTATTAAGAGAAAATTGCTTTGGTGATATTGAAAATCTTCGGCCAGCTCCGATGTCTGGAGGAGTGAGTCTGTCAACCCCGTTACGTTCACGTGATTACATTTTATACTTTAGTTCAATTAATTAAATTTGTTGCTAATTTATGTCGAACTTAAAATAGCTTACCCGGATAGAGATTACCGATGAGCGTGAACGGTAGGCAGAGGAAATTGACCAATAAATCAGCGTACGCCAGATTGACGATGAAGCGATTGGTCGGGGACCGCATCAGGGTGCTCTTCTTCACGACGATAACAACCGAGATGTTGCCCAGTAGTCCGACGATGAATATCAGTGCATAGGCCACGCTGAAACATATAGAACGTTAAGAAAAAAAAAAGTTACATCCGGAAAAACAATAGAGAAGGTGTGAACTCTGCATCTATCTGATTGATGGACGGAGAAGGTTTAAATTTAGATTTATGTCAAACCGTAAATCACGTCAAGTGCCTTCTTAATGGGTCATTCCCTGTCGAAGCGGCACACACACACACACACACTTTCTCAAGTTCAAACGGCAAATTTATACTAACCTCAGCAGTACCGTCCCGACCAGCCCGTATCGTAGCTCATAGGCCGGATCGATTGCCAGCAGGTCGTAATCCTCCACTTCCGCTTCCAGCTCGTCGAATTGCGACCGGGTAAGATTGGCCAGTGTAGCCGACGACGATGGCGATGCCATTGATTCCAGTTCATAGTGCACGACGAAGCAGGTCCAATTGTTGCTCGATCCGATGCTCGTGGAACAGTTAATTGAATGAGATTCCATCAGAAAAATCCGATAATTGATGGAATGGGGTGTGGTTGCCACCACCTTCCAGTCCAGTACCGTTTCACAAGCTTATCAGCTGGACGCGTAGTAAACGCCCTGCCCAGTCGTCAACTACAGAGGATAACGAGCGGAGGTGGAAGAGATAATTTAATGCCTTTTCCGATTCATTGGCGTGCGTTGTTGTTGTTGATTTTGCTCTGGTATTCCGACTATGTGGAGAAGATTTAGTCGAAGACGGAAGCTGGAACTGTTGCGAGCGGCAGTAAACTGCAAATAAGAGAAAAGATGTAGGATATCGTTAGAGAAGAAGATCAGTGCTATAAACTTTGGGGTGGGCTGGTCTGTGTGTACAAATCCTGGCACGTGGCTGATCAAAATTCATACGATAAGCTAGATTAAAGTCGTTCGAGAATGTAAGTTTGGGCCCTATTTTCTCCATCTTTGTTCTCTTCTCTCTTCTCTGTTTTTTCTCTCCAAGTGGAAATCCATATTGCGTGTCTTTAATATACATTTGAACCATTTGTTTTTAACGCCGTCCAAAAATAAAAGACTGTAGGCTGCAGTTGTTTCTACGATAGACCGCACACTTTTACGCGGGACGTAATCCATATTGGACGTAAATCATAGAACGTAAACAAACATTTCTCGCGTAACATTTGAAAAGGGCCTTTCATCGTTGATCTATTCTCTTCATCGATTTTATCTTTGGTTTACCACTGAAACATAAACGAATTTCTCGCAGTCCAGTTCGACCGAAGATGATGTTAACCAGAGACGATGTTTTATAAGAGACGCGCGGAGAGAATAAAAGTAAATCTGGTTGCACGGCTATCTAAGTTATTTTGTCTGCCAGGTTTGGCAGCCCACAATTTTGTGTCTACTTCAAGTGACTCTTAATTTGAGCGAATAGTTTTTTGATTGTTTCAAAGTGAAGTCAAATATATCAGTGTCAGTGAAGTGAAGTCAAATATATCAAATTGCAGCGGATATTTTACAGAGCGTTGCTCAACATTATGCAATCTGCGGTTCATGCTTCCTACCCTGTATTAATGAAATTTCGATTATTTTTCGAAGGGACGGATCTGCTTTTGTAAACAATGCATTTTCTCGTCGATTTGGCTTAACTGGTCCCTTATTTTCAAAAATTCGACTAATTTATAAATTCAACCTCTTAAAATGTTCGTTTTGGTTTGAAAACAAACATACGTACGTTAACGTTTAGAGGTCGCTCATCGACTCTAAATGAATGGTAGTGTAGGAGACCACCCATGCCTCGGCGACCACGCTACCTCAGTGTACACTGCATAGGTATCACCATGAAGCCATGGTATAAACCATGAAAAGTGTTCAAACTAGAGGAACAGGATTTTTCAGTAATCCAAGGAACACATCTTAGTCCTTGTTACTTTTTATGCCTTGTTGATAGTGACAAGACTCGGCTTTGTCTACCGAGGATGATCTTGAAAGAAGGAAAAAAATTAGTTAGTTGTCTTCATCTATGTGATTCCTAATCTTCTATTCGTTGTTCCCTAGTTTGAAGTGGTTAAGACTAGGGTTCTAATGCATGGTCATTATCGGTGTCATACCTTAATTTTGTTGCTAAGGAATCCAATTTTAATTGACAAAGTGGCGCGCCTTTGGAGGGTGTTTCAACACTCCAAAGGGTATAAATAGCGGGACCTTTCAATTAGAGTCGGATCCTTGCGATAAATGCAAGAGTGACAACTGTAAAAAAATCGAATACTTCATCATTTCTCAATAGTGATGGAGTAATACGACATGCACTAAACTAAGGACACGGGATATACTAAAGGGTGATACGGTCAAAATTTGGTCAAGGGAAAACGCGTGTAAATCGGTGAAATCGTTTATTTAAAAACTCAAATTAAATTTCTTTTTCAAGTTCAATTAGTATAAAATTCAGGAAAAATATTCAGTTAGGCTTCCGCTTTTCCAAATCCGAATTGCCGGGCCTTACGCTTGACCCCTGCCATCAGATTTTGTACAGCCACCTTGTCCACCTTCTTCGCCGCAGAAAGCCAGTTTGCCTTGAACTGCTGCTCGCCCTTAGCAGTTTTTTTGGTCTTCTTTAGGTTCCGCTTGACAATAGCCCAGTATTTCTCAATTGGGTGGAGCTCTGGCGTGTTGGGAGGGTTCTTGTCCTTGGGAACCACCTGCACGTTGTTGGCGGCGTACCACTCCATGGCCTTTTTACCGTAATGGCAAGATGCCAAATCCGGCCAAAACAGTACGGAACAACCGTGTTTCTTCAGGAAAGGCAGCAGACGTTTGTTCAAACACTCTTTCACGTAAATTTCTTGGTTGACAGTCCCGGAAGCTATGAAAATGCTGCTTTTCAAGCCACAGGTACAGATGGCTTGCCAAACCAGATATTTCTTTGCGAACTTTGACAGTTTCATGTGCTTGAAAACATCTGCTACCTTTCCCCTTCCTTTTGCCGTATAAAACTCCTGTCCCGGAAGCTGCTTGTAGTCGGCTTTGACGTAGGTTTCGTCGTCCATTACCACGCAGTCAAACTTCGTCAGCATCGTCGTGTACAGCCTCCGGGATCGCGCTTTGGCCGTCGTATTTTGTTTATCATCGCGATTTGGAGTCACTACCTTCTTGTAAGTCGATAGTCCGGCTCGTTTTTTGGCTCGATGCACGGTTGTAGACGATACACCCAGCTTATTTGCGGCATCTCGGAGAGAGAGGTTAGGGTTTCGCTTGAAACTACCGGCAACTCTCTTTGTCGTCTCAGCGGCTTCCGGTTTTCGATTTCCCCCCGATCCAGACTTCCTGGCTGTCGACAAACGTTCCCCAAACACTTTATTTACATTTGTAACGGTTGATTTGGCAACTTTTAGCGATTTTGCCAACTTTGCGTGCGAGTAGCTCGGATTTTCGCGATGCGCGAGCAAAATTTTGATACGCTGCTCTTCTTGCTTGGACGGCATTTTGACAACTGAAGAGTGAATTCCAAAATCAAAATAGGAGCAACATTCTACACACACACACCTTCAAAATGAGGGGTGTTCAGGTTTTTTAAATGCAAAATTGAAAGAAATACGTCAAGTTGATATTGACCAAATTTTGACCGTATCACCCTTTACAATAGATCAATTTACTGGTCGCAGTAGTGTTAGGTCCCGAACAGAGGAAAAAAAAGCTCTATCTCTCTCTCTCTCTCTTCAAAAATAGGACAACGCTGTCATGCGTAAAATGTGAAAAAGAAAATGAAAGAAGACGTTGCGGCAGTAGGCATTGGATCCGAAATCTTCTTGGTTTGTTAGTGGAAATTCCATGGCAACTAACAGTGCTTTGGAAATAAGTTAAAATTTAGATAGAGCTTACCTACGCCTAATGAAGTCATTCTTGTAACGAACTTTGAAGCAGACGTACTAGCAGCAGTAACAGTAGCAGCGGTAACAATTCAGGTAGCGAGAAACCAATTGCTTTCGTGTAGCCGTGACAAAGGCTGGAAACCTCTGTCCGGTTACGACAGTATCCAGTTTGTGTATTAACAGTGGCAGCCCTTATTTCAGTGCGTTTAGATGCGTCGTACCAAGCAGTGAAAAGCATCCTCAAATTGGCTCATAAATTCAGAAGTGAAACTCTCGTTAAATTTGTGGGACCTGAATGTGAAGTTATCACTGGAGCTCGTCTTCGGACAATACGGCAAGTGCTAGCTACCTTTTACTACTAGCATCGATCGCAAGGCTTCCGGTCAGATTGAGTGCTAGAAATACCGCTAAACAGGTGTTGTGCTTCTGGCAGAAATCAAAAATACCGGTAGTTCAGGAAATTCACTGTATTAAGAAAATTGAAACACTGCATACCGAGTTGCTTGCAATTTGCAAAAAATATGAAACGGGCAAATAGCAAAGCACAAAAAAAACGTGAATCCCATTTTAAAACCAAGCTTGACGACTTGTTTGACATTGCAAAGAGCATGGCAATACCGGAAATGGAACGAAGCCCCCAGCAAGAAACGGATCCTGGTGTAAGACAGGCGATTCTCGAAGACATAGCATTTCTGTAGGACCAGAAAGATGACCAAGGTTCCATAGCTGGCATCGATGGGGTTCTTGCTACCAAAATGCAGAAGAAGGTGGCAACAGTGAAGCGTAAAGAAGAGAGGCAAAAGCTCTTGGCAGAACGTCGAAGAAAAAGTGAAAATAAGTTGACAACTGGTAATATTCAGTTTCTTTGCTTGATTACAGTGCAGTAAATTTATTTCATTATAGCCGACTTCGTAGAACTCGACCTATCCGATGATGAGCCTGACGATGCAGACAAGCGTGTGGAGCATCGCTCACGATGAGGAACTCAAAATGTTGTAACCCCAGAATTATCCCAGGCTCTTGATGCAGCAAAAGTCAGCACGGATTCTGCCACAGTTATTCTGGCAGCAGCTGCAAAATCGTTTGGGTTTGATCTAGGGAATACTAACATCAACCGTTCCACTATGCATCGATTGCGTGAGAAATACAGGTCTGAATCGTCCTTGAAATTGATGGAGAATTTCAGTCCCGATGAAATCCTTACAGTTCACAGGGACGGTAAAGTGGTGAGTTCTTTGATAGGGAAGGAACTGGTCGATCGCCAGCAGTACTTGTGACAGGAAAAAGCACGACACAGCTTCTTGGCTCCATTTGTTGAAAGAGGGACAGGAAAATCCATCGAAGAAGCTGTTGTGGAATTGATTAAAGCTTGGAACTTAACTGATCGAATTAAAGCTATGTCCTTTGACACCACCAGTGTCAATACAGGTATTTATGATATCTTTTTAACTTTATTTCCACACTAGGTCAGTTGCTTAAGTCGTTACTTTCCTTTTGACGTAGAACTACGTCTTTGTCGACTATACTGGGGTGCATATAAAAAAATATGTGTGTTGAAATAGTGTTAGGTTTTGAACGCTTGTAGCTTTGTAATTTATAGATGAAATTAAAATTCAAATACGCCAATCGATAGGATATTACATTACAAACCTGCTAAAATAAATATTTTTTTAAATTTGCTGTAATGAATATTTTGAAAAATGTAAAAACGATAATTTTATCATTGTTTTCATGAAATAAGCGTAGTTCTACGTTATACTGTGGTCGTGTCTAGGACACAACCCTTCAATATTTTTTTGCTACTTAATGATTTTCAAACACGGTTACTAATTAAAGGCAGGAAGAACGGTGCAGCTTCGTGGATAGAGCGCCAACTTGAGGCGAACCTTCTATGGCTACCCTGTAGGCACCATATTTTAGAGC